TGAACGGTGGATGACACAAGCCACTCAAGAGCTTGGATATTGTCTTTCATTCTGCAGTATAGATGGAACATCACCCTGGTAACCCTTTTGATGTATTAACATTAAATTAAGGAATGACTACACCTAATACAGTTTGGGTTGTGTTTGGATCGTGAGACCCGTCCGTATATATTTTTTTACATGTGATGACCATTTTCATTCAAGAATTCCCTCGATAGCATTTGAACGTGTTGTGGATTTTCTTTCTTCTTAGCAACATCACTTAGGTGTATGTCATAGTTAGTATTTAATAAAGTGCATGGGGCTTAATACGAAAATACCCTGTCAGTAATCTAATCTTAGGTCTTTTAATAGATCATTTGCTCTGTGACCGAACGGTTGAGTCTGAGATAATAACATTTCTTTTGAATTTTTTCCTTGATTTTCACACTTAATTGTTGGACAGCTGTCGCCAAGATATTGTATCTTAGCCCAGTATCTCAAGGTTAGTTCGTTGGCCTCAATTCGAAAGACATTTTACCTGCACTTTCCTTTTTTTTTTTGCAAAATGAAGCTTTCGGTGCTATCTTTATTGTCTGATATTGTAAACTGTTTCGTTTAGAAAGAGCTGGGGGGGGGGGGGGTGTGCACTCGCAAAATTTAATTTTTATTGTTTTTTCTCTAATACTTGAATTTTACTTATGTATAACTGAGATTTAGATCGTTTTATATATTGTTTCCTTATATATACTATTCAAAAAAAGTAGGGGATATTTGATTTTTAAGTGTTATTAAAGTCACCTAATGAAACTGACGAAGAAACAAATGACAAAATGAAATGAAGTTCACATTCATCGATTTATTCCAAATGATCGTTAGACTAAGTAAGGCACAGACTGACCATTATAAGGGTAAAATGATACCCGGGGTCAAACAGCAAAGTTACCACAGCATCACAACCAAGTCAATAACGGGTAAATCCTCCTCTGTTTGCCAAACAAGCATTGATCCGACGTGGCATACTCCTAATGAGACGTCTAAGGTCATTTTGGTCCAGATTGTCCCATTCCTGTTGCAACGCAGCAGCAAGTTCTTGGACATTGGCAGGCCGTTGTTGACGTTGACGTAACCTCTGTCCAAGCATGTCCCAGACATGCTCGATGGGGGAGAGGTCGGGACTCAGTGCTGGCCAAGGTAATGTGGTGATGTTCTGTTGTTGGAGGTAACCTGTAACGATCCTGGCCCTGTGACATCTTGCGTTGTCATCCTGGAAGATGAAACGGCGGCCATGACGTCGTGCGAACGGCACAACATGGACTGCCAAGATGTTGTCCCGGTAGTACTGGCCTGTAACACGCCCTGCAACAACATGTAAAGCCGTTCTTCCAGCAACAGTGATGCCTCCCCACACCATAACAGAACCACCCCCAAATCGATCATGTCTGATGACGTTAACGTCTTGGAAGCGCTCGTTTCGACGACGCCACACCCTCCTACGTCTGTCCAAAAAATCAACAGTGAACCTTGACTCATCTGAAAACATCACATTGCTCCAGCGTCGATTATCCCAGTGTTGACGATCCCTACACCAACGACGTCTTGCCTGAATGTGATGATCTCTCAAACAAGGGATCACGCGAGGACGCCGGGCGCGAAGGTGACCCCTATGCAGTCGATTCCGAATCGTCTGGCCACTCACTCTCACACCAGTGTCTGTTTGAAGACGAGCGCTGATCTGATTTGCTGTGATGACACGATTTCTCAAGGCCAAGGTACGGATAAATCGATCCTGGGCTTGAGTTGTCGCCCTTGGTCGACCTGAGCGTGGTCTGTCCTGTACAGATTGTGTATCACGGTATCTGGACCATAACCTGCTTATGACAGACTGAGAAACATTCATCGTCCGCGCCACAACCGCCTGTGTTGTGCCGATCTGTAGCATGCCAAGGGCACGTAACCTTTCATTTTGGGTAAGCCGACGCATATCAAAATTTGTTTTCTGGTCACTAAAACAATTAAACTGATGTTTCCACCCTGGAATTCAATGCCACAATGACTGTAACATTCAATGTCAGAGTCGTGCAAATCTTGGGTTGGACCCCCATGATGATCCCAAGCATCACCTGCATTCCATGCGGTAGCTATTGGTGCGTTTGGGCGTCACATGTAACTGGAAATGTTTCTTCTGTTAGGTTCTATAGTGACTTTTTTCGTAGTCATTTGCATATTTTAGTATTATGCCCCCAAAATCAAATATCCCCTACTTTTTTTGAATAGTATATTTGCAGGGTGGTTTTATTTGTTCCCCAGGATATGCGCGTCAGGCATCTCATTACATTCAACCCTCTTTTAACCATATTTTCAATATGTTGTATAAAAGTCATTTTGCGATCAAAGGTCACCCCTATAAGCTTTGCCTGATCTTTAAATTCAGTTCGGATATTGTTCAATTCCAGTTACATAGACGACACTTCTCTATTATCCCTACAGAAGAGCATACCTATTGTTTTAATTTCAGATATTCGAAATCCCCAGTCATAAGACCATTTCGACAATTTGTCTAAGGCTTCTTGCACTCTCGTTCTAACCGTACCGTAGTTATTTGCTGCATGCCCGATTGAAATGTCGTCTGCATAAACCGCTACGTCAATAAGTTTCGTAATGTAGTTATTAGACTGAAGGTCATTAATCATGCACAGTGGCGTGACCAAGTTTAAATTATATATAATGTCATTACTTATAATTTAAAAGGTGTAGTTTGCTGAATTATAAGTAATGACACTTTGGTTACTTCATTCTGTTTATTGTGCTTATCATCTATCAAGCCATTGTTTTTTAACGCAAAACTCACTGAGTTCTAATCCCACTGATCGTCTTTACCAAGTCATCGCAACAATGTCGATGGAAAAGAGTAATGAAGGTATAGTGGACAGTTATTTGATAAAGAAACCTTAAATTCCATTGTAGATTTAGCAGTAAAACCAGCTGTAGGTTTGTTAGAAATGTTGTTTAACAAATTGAAATAATTGAAGATCGTTTAACTGAGGTTGAACTTACAAATAACAACAACAACAGCTTTAATGAACGTTTCGAACGTATTGAATCGTCCCTCTGCAAAACATACTATGACAATGAATTTCTAAAAAACAAACTGAAAAATTTAGAACAATATACGACAATGGCTCATCTTCGTGTATTTGGTATCTCCGAAAACCAGGAAAATGAAGACTGTATACATTGTATCCAAACGTTTCTCGGGAATAAATTGAATATTACCAGTGATATTTGTATAGATGTAGCTCATCGCGTTGTAAAACAACAATCACTTGGTCAACCCAAACGAAAATGAATCGAATCCAATAACTCAACAATCCAACGCCCAAGAGGAATTATTGTGCGCTTCTTAAAGAGGGAAGATTACCAGCATGTTCTTCCTCTTAGGAAGAAAACTAAAACATCCGGTGTATCTTTATGTGAAGATATGACTCCTGAAAACGTGAAAAGGTTAACTGAAGTACAAAATCACCCATTTGTAAAAAGGGCGCGGTTTACTAACGGGAAAATCAAAGAAAAGGGACACAGTGGAATTATGTGTCACAAATTGAGCTATATCCCAGTCTTTAGAAAGGGCTATCACATTTTTGAGTTTTCGACTACTTGTTGTGTTATAGCACCAATCATTGAAAGTCTTACTATTTAACATTAAATTGTGACTCATTCATAAACCTTTTATTACCCCATATATGAGCAATTAACTTGGATTAACTTCTTATTTAAACGGGATATCTCCGTATTTTCAGTATACAAATCGCAAATTGTTGTGACAATATCCAAATATTATATTCGCCCACACAGTAATTGATGTAGTGCACCTATGATATTTCATATTTAACATGTCACTTGCATGAAGATGCCACGTAACGAGAACGTATTTAATGTTTAATACCAAATATAGCTGTATATACTTTGTAAATATGTTATGTTTTCCAGCTCTCTGTATATACCATGTAAATATGTTAGTTTTTTTTTAGCTCTTCGTTTAATGCTTACCATACTTATTATCACAGCTAAGCCCCCTTTCTCATATCGGACCTTCACGCGACGCCATGCCCAGAAAAACACGCATCAATCTCTGTCCTTTATTTTAATACATTTCATTTGCTTCCCAACAGCTATTATCAGATTTCCGTAAACCCTATGTAATGATAGATTTTAAGATGTGCTATCGTTCGCAAAGGGTAGGTAAACGTATTACCATACCTACCATACATATTTCTCTCGTAACAATTAATTTTGTACTAAGTTTAATAATTGGTGATATTCATCCAAATCCTGGGCCCCAAAACTTAACCGTCCTGCATCTAAGTACGAGAAGAATACGAAATAAAATTGATCAAATTACTGTAGAACTTATAAGTATGAAGTACTAACATTTTCTTTTACCTGGCTGGACGATTCCATTCCTCTACCTGATTTATACATTAATAGTTATCATCCCCCTGTTTAGTTAAATCGCGAAGATGGTAGGGGTGGGGGAGTAACTATATACGTTGGATAGAGAACAAGCTAAACAAAATGAAATGGGGTTTAACGCCCTACTGTTCTGCCCCGAACTGGGCTAAAGAAGATGGTATACGCCAAACAGTGTGCTATGAGGGAAAGTTTGTCCGGACAGCGGCACTACGGCCGACTCTTATATCGAATTCCAACTGTCAAGGGATCTTTTACGTGCACGCCAATGTGTACACGGGACCTCGGTTCCTTTCTTTAAGAAGTTCTAATTACGCCTAATAAAATTAGACTGGAGAAGCTTGCTTTTTCTGAAACACTTTATATCACTTCTCATTTGAAGCGTCACATAACGAACAAATTATGTCCACTCGCATTGGTCGTATTACTCGCGCAATGATTAAGGGTTATGGTTCGGGTAAGCTGATAGTGTTAGAAAAATGGTGGACAGTTCCCGAATCGGGTAAATGATTCTGTAATTTAATTACAAACTGTTTTACGTATAATTTCAGGTTTGTGTACATTGGTTGGAATAATATTGTATATTGGCAGCATAACAGAAGAAGTCGGAAATAAACCTCGTGCATCAATAGAGAAACCAAAGTTTATATATCATTACGGTCCATCGTTTATGATGGCGGTCGGATCGTTTATTTTGACTGAACTATCGGGTGTGTTCTCAGTGTATTTGTATATAACCAAGCACAAGCAAGCCAGGAGAAAGAAAATGCAACAAGCTTTAAAACACGAGGGTAATGATCGCGCTAATAACTGGAGACAGAGGCGACCACGTGCTGAACAACCTTCACGTGAACGTTCTCAATCACGTGATCGATCTAGAGACCCTTCCATGAGTCGTTCCGAAAGTTATTTTACATATACGCCCATATCAGACACTTCGCACGAATTATCAAATTATAATTTTCAGCGAGATGCATCTAGAAACACAATCGCAACAACCGCTGAAATGCACGTGCAAAAGGATACTGTAGCGCCACCATCTATAGATATTGTACGACGAACGACTCCAGTATGAGAGAGAAATCGAACAGTGTAAATTATTCTGGATTATCTGTGTATATTTGTTGGAATCAGGTCGAGGAGTCACCTCCCCTGTATGTAAATTGTATGTGGTGCATGTGTAGAGGATATAATAGTTCCACCAATTGTATGTGTGAGGGTGAATCACGTGATCGATTTTTGCCAACAAATGGCGCCAAAATGTAGTAGTGTGTTTAAAGTGCTAGATCTAGATCTAGATCCAAAGATAACAAAATGCGAGTACAGCACGGCGCAGGACCGGACGTAGCCACGAAGGGTAAGGTATCTGGGTGACGTCACGTGAACGTGACGTATGATATTGAAGGGTCAATGAATACTGGAATTCAGTATTTTTAATTGTTTTATGAAAAAATTCCCAACTTTATATAAGATCGCATTTATTACACCCAACGGGGTGAAATGTATAATTTATTTGTTTATTTATTTATTCATCTAATTGTTAAAAAAATTATAAAAAATGTTTTTTTTCTCTGTTTCTCTGTTTTCACTCAGTCTGTATTCTCATCCTATCTTTACTACTTGTAAACCCAGTATCTCAATATATACATATATATATATACACACACATATATATATATATATATATATATACAAATATATATATATAAATACAAACTACGTTATGCTTTTTGTAACTCATTTTGTAAAATAAAATCACTATGAAAATGTGAAACTGGTCTCTTTACTTGAAACTATCTATAAATTTTCTCTGACAAAGGAAGTGTTTGAATAGCAGATCGTATGGGACAAAACAAACTATGGTCAATCCACGCAGACTCATTGATTTTCAAGTAATTGAACACTTGGCAGATTCAATTCGAAACACCATTGACCTAACATAATTCTCTGGTACTGTACACCCGGCCAAGTAATCATTAACCGTATTTTAGTCTCAGAATAACCAGATCATTGTGTGGACGGGGAATTTTTCCGCTACAGTATCGAATTCCAACGGCCAAGGTTTCTTTACTTGCAAGCCAACGTGTACATTGGACCTCAGTTTTTCGTGTCATCATGGCTCACGTGACCTCCCGAGCCATGGCGTTTATCCTTTTCAGTCAAGGATGTGCTAATGCAATAAAGAAATGCATAATGCTCCTGAAGACTTGCATATTCCTCCCCTTCCCCTGTTATTGTGTTTACTGTGTTACTCGGAATATTTACCAACCAATTCTAGAACGTAAGGATGATGAGCATGTTCTGCTTAGGCTAGGCTAAGATAAGCAATTTGATTGGCCGATGCTTTGGAACACGATAACTCGGATAACTCTTGGTTCTAAAGAAGCGAGAGTGATGATATTTGATGTATAGTTTCATCCTACCAATACCTTGATTATTTTGTCTGACCAGTTTAAGCAGTGATTTGTAATTTGATTGATCGATGCTTTATATAAAGATAATGGTACTATATAGTTTATTATTTTTATAAACAGTATTGTATCATAAAATAAGGATGCTGACATTTTGTTAAATACGTACAAACATAATCAATGGGTTATCTCGAAACGGGCGTCATACTATGGCAGCATCGAATATATTGGAATATATATGTTAGCCTCGAAAGGACCTCGTTAGTAAACCACCCCTTCTATACACATTTGATAATTAAAATATTAGGCAAATAACTCCTAATATATGAACAGCTCCGCTCGGATGATTATTTAATAATATCAACATCGTGTTTTATAAAGATTCTTATAGTGTTTTACTCGTTTTGTTAAGAAGTTTGCAACGTTAGTTTTTCATTGGTTTAAGATACATTGAAGCACAAATTAGATATTTCCTCGATTCTTATTGGTCGAAATGTATGGTCGAATGGATAATAAACCCCTCTAATTTATCAAGGCGAATTACTGCCTATAAATATTAGCAGTGAACTTTTTTTTCATTTTTGTGCTCAATGATCTTCCTCAACTCAAATCTCTATTGGCAAATATCTTAACGAAATTCTGCACACACGACTATCACACCATTTTCAAACATCATCTTTTATGAAAACTCATTTCTTAAATACATAGAACAGTAGAAAATCAGTCATAAATTAATTAAAACCTTTTTCAGGTATCCAAATATATTCATAACTAGGCAGTGACAGTATGGACAATTTTGTTTTCGTTTTTGGTAGGCTAGCTTTACTCACCAATTTTTACTTAATCAGTGGAATTGTTTTTAAATTTTGCTTTGATTGAAGTCTGACTAGCATGATGTACCTAATAATAAGTCATTAGTCACAAGAAATCGCTTGAAAATATAACGAGGGGGGGGGGCGAAAATAGCAACTGAAATATACTGATATAGGCCTAATCATTGTGTCAAAATTGACATATGTTGACAACGCGTCAGAACAGTATGCATAGCAACCGCTAGAATCCTAGGCTAGACATCACTGTCAAAGTTTTCAAAGAGTCTTTTTGAGGAATTAAGTACGAACTGCAATTGGGATAACAGTCTGCAAATAATATACATGGAAACTTACATGGAATTCACGAAGCGAAGCCATATTTGTCGCCAAGAGTTACTCCTCTTTTAGTCTCGGGCAGCAGGCCGGAATTATTTTAATCACAGCTAACATTATCTTCTCAAAATAACGCAATAAGACTAATTTCCTGTTCCTTTAAAAATATTCAAACGTTAAATTTTTTTTGTTTTTTTGTCGATATCCGAATAACATTTTCTTTCATATTTCAATTACCAGCAACTGGAGACTCAAGCATTTTAAATTTGAAGGGAAGCAAGGTGGGTGTAAATCTATCGAGACTATATTGAAAAGTGAACGTAAGTACGTGGCCAAATAACGATTTTTTTTAAATGAGTGTAAACATGTTTTCTACTTAGTTCCGACGAAAATCCCATAATATTTAAAGGGCCAATCCCGATAATATTTTGGAGAATAAAACTGCTTATTTTTGTGTTAAAATAGCTTAAAATCCTCTACCTTAGGGTTGAGCAACTAACTCAGTATATATGATACGTTTTCAAACAACTTAAACCTGTCAGTCTTCATCTGGAAATGGTGATCTGTGTCCCAAGTAGTATTATTTGGTGTCGGATAAAATCAGACTTTTATTTTATAATAATAATGTTTAGGTGAAATTTACTTTTCGTTATCAAGTACAGCACGTGGGTCATTCACAGTATAGACCTCTAAAGGAACGGGAATTACATCTCAGGTCCCCCGACGAAACAATTGACCCGAAATCTTAAAAGAGTTACGTGTCCGGATAAGCAGTTTTGACGTTCACGTCCACAGGACTCGATATTTTGAGTAGAAATTTTGAGACATACTAAATACACCACTCCTCTATATTTCGGTGCTTAAATTTCATATGTACTCGGATTTTTATTTTTGAGGCTCTGTTCAAATCGGGATAATCCCTTTAAGTTACAATATCGATAAAAGCGTTCCTGTTTCGCATTTAGAGGGGGTTATTCTCCATTTAACCATGCTTGAATTAACCATTAGAACAACTCGACGCTGTCGCGTCTCGTGTTCGAATGATTCAAGTATCGTTAAATGGACAAAAATACCCCTCTAAATACGAACCATGAAGTGTTTATCTCCTAATTATGTAAGAGTTAAATCTGCCTATAACTGATCTTTCTTTTGGCCTCAAATGATGTATAAATTATTAATTAGACATTTATTTACATGACAAACCCACAATCAACTCTCTAGATCAGTGGAGTGGTTCCCAACCTTTTTGTGATAGAGTACCACTTGGAGGTCCCGTACAGTCGCCGCGTACCACCTGGTTCCAAAGAAAATCAATTCGATCAATCAAGAATTAAATAAAGAAGTATAGAAATAAAATATAAATAAGTATACAAAATAATAATAAGAATAGTAACATACACACTGACAAAATAATGGGTATTATCTTGTGTTAGGCAGTAAACATTTTTGTGAAGTAAAAAATAACTAAAAATCGTGCATGACCCCGAAAGTGCTCGCGTACCAACCGGAAGGCCCTCGCGTACCACTAGTGGTACGCGTACCACAGGTTGGGAACCACTGCTCTAGATCATGGATGGTTGCGATATTGGACGAATGGACACAAAATCGCCATTTAATAATTTAATTAAAAATGGATAATCGAGACTTTGTTATCGTAACAACGGTAGCAATGAAAATCGAGACTGTGCTATTTTTCAAACATTCATAACTTCGCTCAGAATGAAGAGATTTGACTGAAATTTTCAAAAATTTTCCCTTTACGTGATATATGTTTAAACTAGTGTATCAATATCTGTGAGGTCTTTATTTAAATCTTACATACTGCATCTTTAAATGACTTGTGGTCTGGTACGGGACAACGTATAGACATTCGGAAGGGACGAAAACCCGAAATCCATGGTACATATTGGCGTGCACGTTTAAAAACACTTGACACAATTGGTAATAAAGAGTTGTGTTTCTCTTGTAGCACACTGTATATCGTATGCCCGTCTTCATTATCCCAGTCGGTGCAGAGCAGTAGGATGATAAACCCCACTTCATTTCATAGCATCTTTAACTTTTCTGAAAAAAAAACACACACAAAAAAAAAAAAAAAAAAACCCGTCGTTTTTCTTTGGTTAACTTTTCTCAATAAACTTCGTTACTTATAAATACCAAGGAACTGTATTTTCATTATTCTACAGTTAGATAATGTCTATTAACCTGAAGCATTTCCTCTTAAAATATTGGAAGACGCACGTGTCCAATAAGAATGGCGTGCTGTTAAAGTTCCACATATTAGTAAACACCATAGTTATTTTTTACAATTGAAAAGTATATATATATTCTCATTAAAAAATGTTTTTCATAAAAACACAATATTCATTTCCCCCTTGCGTCTATAATATCAAAGGCGAGGAATTGTCCTAGAGGTGTTGGCTATTGTTAATAAATTTCCACCATGTTATAAATGACCATTATAATGTATTACGATGTGTTTCCATGTCTCACTACCCACCTCGTTGGCCTCCAACACTAGCAGGAAATCAAGAACTAACCGTTATTACAAATTGTCACGTCTGTTAGTCACGTGTTTGTCTTCTTCCTTTCTAGGTTACTTCATCTTCAATACACAATAATCAGCTAATATATAATAGCTCGTAAAGCGCACGCGACACGACCCTTGTACCCTCCACTACCAGTCTGTTAAAGACAATTCCATGAAGTAGTCGTAAATTAATTGAAGACCTGGAACCGAAGAACTGGAGGCTGGTGTCAAGACGAACTATATAGAGTAATGAAATGGGGTCTAACGTCCTACGGATGTGTACCGACCCGCGGGATATGAAGACGGACATAACGTCATACAGTGCGCTACGGGGGAACATTGTCTGGACATCGGTTCTACTGTCAAGGTTTATATTACACGCACGCCAACGTGTACAAGGGGTTTTTGTGGCTCATCCGAACGGCATGACATCGTTTATTGCCAGGCCCTCTAAATCGTTCGGGTGGGACCTAAAACCGAGCTCCCATGTACAGATTGGTATACACTTAAAAAAATACCGCCTTCATTAGCCCAGTCGGTGCATAATAGTATTTATCAC